TGCAACAAAGTGTCTATTATTTATTTTTAAGTAGAAATCAAGCTACATGAAATGCTCTGCCACTTCTCTTTGCTGTCTATTACGTGCATCATTTCAGTACCTTTCAACACCAGTTCGGTGGAGAGCGGACTAGACTTTGGTGATTTAGCACTATCTGAATCCAAAGGACATTCGTGTTTAGATGGTTTCTCCCTTAATATTTCCACATGAGTGAATAACCGACCTCAAAACATGTTTGTTGTGGTTAGTGAAACCAGCTTCACTGTTAATTTCTGTCCATTAACTACCCCATTATGTCACTGGCCAAATGAGGATGCATGTGTTTGTCTAGAAGCCGCTTAATCAAATTAAATATTGGCACTTCAATCAGCGATTATTCTCACTATTTCCTTCTTGCCGACGATTGAGTAGCATGACAATCGAGAGCGAGTTCAACTTCTATAAACTGACAGCAGCCCATCCAAATGGAGGTCTGTCGAATGCAGTAATATAAGGGTGGTCATGCACTCACCCTTCATTCCCACTCCATCATGTAATTTACACATGATCACGTGACACTTTGACACCTTCCAATATATTTATTTGAGGCTTCCCGTAAATCCATAAGTAAGCACTTCTTAATTTATAAGCTTGTTGCCAATATCAGAGCTACCGTTTGTCTCTGGTTAATATGACCATGAACAGTCAAATGGGCAGGAATATAGATTTAAGAAAGTAACTAATTCCCATTGCTAATAAAAACATGTGGCCAATAGGAATGTTGCGACCTTGATGCCAACAAAGTACATTTAATGTATGCTATCTCATATGTGTAACGACGCTGCGTATTTTGATGGGAGAACCAAATTAGCAAGTGGTGGTCTGAGTAACCCATCCCTTTGACAGTATAGTTGAGTAAATGCTCCAATAATTATCAATGGATATTGGGAAAAGAGCACAGAAGAAAACGCTTTCCTACACAATGCACGATTAAGAATATTCTGAGGTTACCTTAAACTTCCAGTGAAATCCTTGGTTGGAATTTGCATTGACACGATTTGCAAATGGGCAATCAGTTAGCGAGTTGAACCCACAGTAAGTTCCTACTTGTTAGCTATTGCCAGCCCACTCGGCCTTTATTCGACTTGAGAATGAGCTGTCTGGCAGCTTAAACACCTATCACGGTTCCGCACAATCAATATTTACATGCAGGTAAACGAGCACCATTTTGTGTCTATCAGTAGCATCGTATTCTTCAATAATGTCTCCTTCAAAACTCGGCTAAGTGACTCCTTAATGAAATTTGCATAGCCCAATTAATGGACCGCTGCAACATCCTATTCTCCTTTCTACCCTCCAATCCTGTCGAGGTTTGCTCATGTCACGCCAATATTTCCAGTATCCCTTTACATTCCGCCACTATTTTTCCCACGATTGCACATCCGTGGCTTCATCCTTAAGCATTCGCCTTGCAAAATAGTACTTTTATGCTGATAACCGGAATGACTAGTGCACCGCTTCTCAGCACCCAACAATCCTCCAAAACAAGTCATAGTTATTCTTGGCTGTCTCATATTCTGTAGAATCTGCGTCACAACATAAATAGCCGACGAAATTAGTGAAATTGCGGGGCTGTGACAAATGCTGATGATAGGCATATTCAATTAATGTATTTTATTCTAACTTCGCATTCCGAGCCTTGGGCCAAGAATGTCGAGTGGTAGATGGCAGAACACAAAGGACGGAGGATTAGAGTTGTGCAGAAGCGTGATCGACAATTACTCGTTGCAGAACAACGCCCAACTCCATAAAAGTCAAACATACAACCCGTTTCAGCTTTGAGACATTTTCAGGTCCAAGGTATGCAGGTTAGGCTTGAGTCATCAAATGAATCACCTAATGAGGCGTGTTCCAAAAGGCCTCAGAGCCTAGTTTTAATCTGAGAAACAAGTAATCCTCAATTATGGAAATCAGAAAAAATTTGCTTAATGGAAGACCGAAGACACTA